CTCCTTATCTTCTTCACTCATTTCCACTTGCCAATACCCGCTCTTAAGGTCGAGTGTTGAGAACCATTCTGTGCCCGTTAATGAGTCTAGTGAATCATCAATCCTGGGCAAAGGATAGCTGTCCTTCTTTATGACATCGTTTAATCTTCGATAGTCTACGCAGAACCGCAACTGGCCATCTTTCTTCTTCACGAGTTCTACCGGAGAGCTCCAATGACTTGCAGATGGCTCGATAACACCGCTTTCGCTCATTTCCTTAATTATTTGGCCAACAGTGTCACGTTTGGCTATTGGAACGCTTCGAGGAGCTTGACGAATTGGTCTTGCGCCACCCGTATCGATGCAATATTTCACTACGTTGGTCCTGCCTGGGTTGTTGCCATCCTTGTCAAATATGTTGGAGTATTTGCGGATAAGTTGGCTGGCCTCTTGCTTGTTCTTGTCTTCCAACCCTTGCGTCCAAACATTTATTTCTTCCTTCATGTCCTTCCTGCTAATGGAGTCGTTTTCCGATGAGTCATTGATGATGGCTTCCACTTCTTTACATTGCCCTAATATAGTCCCTCCAGGATTTTTTATTGGTGATCTGAAGTCATTTAATACTCTCACTGGGATGCGTCCAACTCGCTCTTGAGAGGAGGTTTCGTTAAATCCTGAATCTCTACCATTTTGCAAATAGTGTCCCTTGGGATTTATTTAACAATCCCACTTCTGACACCAATATTTACTATTGTGCTAAATCAACCTCGATTATTTTCTGAATCCTTCGGGTACTATCTCTGGATTGTTAAGTAAAAATAGCCAACTTAACTTGCAGTTTCTTTCGTTATAAAGAATTAATCTAATGTCCTTTATTTTCTCAGTTATTCACAATTCAATTACAATGCACTTTACTATTTACAATCACTAGCATAACCTTTCACAATTTACTTTACTTAAATGTAATCTCCAAAGCGTTTACTTTACGACTTTACTGATTTTAACGCCAATCAGTTCACTTTGCAACTAACTAAATTGGCAGTCGGCTGCTCGCAGACGAAAGCGTAGAATACTCGATTTATTCGCTATCGAAGGTTCTCGTTTTATCGTTTCTAGAATGTACTAGTTATCGGCTTCTCTCTTTCATCTGACATTTGCCTCGCCTTTTCACAACAATACAGAAGTAGAAAATTACTAGCTTAGCTAGAAAGAGAGGATTTAAATTAATTCGAAAGTAAATACATATGTATATTAAACTTGGAATTTAAAAACCAAAACAAATAGGTTAAGAAGATTTTTGAATGTAAATACGTATAGAGATAATTAAAGCATAGATGAAATTCGCTATTTATCAGTGTTTGTAATGTTCTAAGCACTGTTAGAAATATTGCTAATTCTCTCACCGCATAAATATGTACTAAGATTGAAATACATGTACATGTAACTCATTTTTGCAAGCATCATTAATTAGTTTTTATACTTACCTTTGTATACCTACATATACTTATTTCATTACATTATATCTAATTTTTGTATTGCTTATATAGTTTTAAAATATTGTAAGACCATGGACGCAAAAACGATTTTAGGTATGGCAGTTGAGACGTTGGAGAAACACCTGAAAGGGTTGGGTTAAGTGTTCAAGGACGGAAAAGTGTACTTAGACACAGACTTTTAAAGCATCATATTTTTTACAGAGCGATGACAAAGAGGGTGAAGTAGAGTCAACATATGAAGAAGCAGTGAATGTTACACAACGCTCTGTTGCAATGAGTAGCAATTCACGCTCAAAGACATTCAAGATAGGTTACCTTGTTTTACTGGTACAGACACTATGACATATGTGCCAAACAATTGCTAAA